TTTAACATAATAGACCAAAAAATCCCTAGATTCCTTGGTTATCTCANTTACACAATGTTTAAAATCATCGTTGGGTAGCAAAATAAATTTAAAATCGAAAATAAAGAATGAGTTTTAATCGTATTTATCGTAATTTTTGAGATATCCCCTTTTGAATCCTTAAATTTTTCTCTTTTTGTGAAAATTAATACCTTTGTTGAGAAATATCTTAAGAACGAAGGGAAATATCAAAAAAAAATATGCTTATTAATCGATTTAGAAATGATTTTTCCACTAAATGAAATCACCCGATTTATTATATCGGTGATTAATAATAAGTAAGATGCATAAAACATAAAAAAAGCGATTAATTCAAAATTAGTTTTTTTCGTTCACCTCTAAGTTAGTTGGGGTTACTTTTACACAACGTTTAAAATCATCGTTGGGTAGAAAAATAAATTTAAAATCGAAAATAAAGAATGAGTTTTTATCGTATTTATTGTAGTTTTTGAGATATCCCCTTTTGAATCCTTAAATTTGGCTCTTTTTGTGAAAATTAATACCTTTGTTGGGAAATATCTTAAGAACGAAGGGAAATATCAAAAAAATTTATTCTTATTAATGGATTTAGAAATGATTTTTCCACTAAATGAAATCACCCGATTTATTATATCGGTGATTAATAATAAGTAAGATGCGTAAAAACATAAAAAAAGCGATTTATTCCAAATTAATTTTTTTCGTTCACCTCTAAGTTAGTTGGTGTTACTTTTACACAATGTTTAAAATCATCGTTGGGTAGAAAAATAAATTTAAAATCGCAAATAAAGAATGAGTTTATATCGTAATTATCGTAGTTTTTGGTATATCCTCTTTTAAATCCTTAAATTTCGCTCTTTTAGTGAAAATGAATAAGGTACGTTAGGGTAATATGGCCCGGACAAAAATATGGCCCATTCGTACTAATTTTTTTCTTGAGCGCTATCTGTTGACAAGTGACTGCCTGATAGGTTCTATTAGGTTTGTAGTGCCTGTTGACAACCAGAATAGCCAACCTTGGCTATTGGTGACCTTGCTACACTTCAATTTACAGAAAGCACATGTGTTCTTTTTACTTTTGACTGTGTTTGAGATCGTGTAACTTTGGGTAAAGCGGCCAATTAGGTAAAAAACGTCATTGCTATAATTTGTAGCCCCTTAACTTCTGATTTTTGCCTCAGTAAAAGTTTTTGTTTATTTTGTTCACAAATTATAACCCCAAATGTTGGTGAAGTGCTTGTCGGAAATATGGCCCACAACAAAACGGTAATGGGCCATATTACCGACCGGACATACAATGGACAGTCCGTTGTAACCAGTCGATATGTGCACACGACTCAAGTTTTTCGATTTTTAACGATAAATTTCCCTTTTTTATAACACGCCTTCAGCTTTTACAGTTTTTACGCCTGCCTTCAGCATTTCAAAAACTTTTTTAACCTATCACCCGACGTTGGAGTTTTTAACCTGACATGGTAAACCCACGCCGTTTTCAAAATTTCACTTAAATCTTTAATCCAAAATTATATTTTTAATCATCGGTCCGTCGTAGTTTCTTGTAAGAGAAATTTTTCCATATGATCATTTTTTCACGTGTTCATCATTCTTAGTTTTTGACGTCGTACCTGACGACGCTTTTAGAAAAAGCGAAACATTGTTGTACCGAAATTAGAAAAAAATAATAAATAATCATCGTGGACTTATTCTTTTTTATCCTATTAACCTTCCCCCTGGTTCCACTGTTCAAATGTCTGCAAAAGGGAGCATGATTAGGGAGTTATTTATTGTTTGGCTACAACATTTTGCAAAATTCAAGCCANATTTATTCCTATTAATCGATTTAGAAATGATTTTTCCACTAAACGAAATCTCACGATTTATTATATTGATGATTATTAATAAGGAAGATGCGTAAATCATAAAAAAAGTGATTTATTTAAAATTAATTTTTTTCGTTCACCTCTAAGTTCGTTGAGATTACTTTTACACAATGTTTAAAATCATCGTTGGGTAGAAAAATAAATTTAAAATCGAAAATAAAGAATGAATTTTAATCGTATTTTTCGTAGTTTTTGAAATATCCCCTTTTGAATCCTTAAATTTGGCTATTTTTGTGAAAATTAACACCTTTGTTGGGAAATACCTTAAGAACGAAGGGAAATATCAAAAAAAATTATTCTTATTAATCGATTTAGAAATGATTTTTCCACTAAATGAAATCACTCGATTTATTATATTGATGATTATTAATAAGGAAGATGCGTAAATCATAAAAAAAGTGATTTATTTAAAATTAATTTTTTTCGTTCACCTCTAAGTNTCAAATGTCTGCAAAAGGGAGCATGATTAGGGAGTTATTTATTGTTTGGCTACAACATTTTGCAAAATTCAAGCCAGCAAGAAGAGTTCTTTTAGTCATTGATGATGCTTCCTGTCACTTAGATATCTCCATTGTTGAAGAAGCGGAAAAGTTGGATGTGTTCTTGTACTGCTTACCATCAAATACAACCCACGAATTGCAACCACTCAACATTATTGGGACACCGAACTGCTGAATTCCTGGCAAGCAACAAATGTTCCTTGCCGAACTCTAAAGAAGGATAGATTCGGGATTGTCTTCAATAAAGTCTGGCAACAATGTATGTCAATTTCAAACATCCAAAANTTTATTCTTATTAATCGATTTAGAAATGATTTTTCCACTAAACGAAATCTCACGATTTATTATATTGATGATTATTAATAAGGAAGATGCGTAAATCATAAAAAAAGTGATTTATTTAAAATTAATTTTTTTCGTTCACCTCTAAGTTCGTTGAGGTTACTTTTACACAATGTTTAAAATCATCGTTGGGTGGAAAAATAAATTTAAAATCGAAAATAAAGAATGCGTTTTAATCATATTTATCGTAGTTTTTGAAATATCCCCTTTTGAATCCTTAAATTTGGCTCTTTTTGTGAAAATTAATACCTTTGTTGGGAAATATCTTAAGAACGAAGGGAAATATCAAAAGAATTTATTCTTATTAATCGATTTAGAAGTGATTTCTCCACTAAACGAAATCACACGATTTATTATATTGATGATTATTAATAAGCAAGATGGGTAAAAGCGATTTATTCAAAATTAATTTTTTTCGTTCACCTTTAAGTTAGTTGGGGTTACTTTTACACAATGTTTAAAATCATCGTTGGGTAGAATAATAAATTTAAAATCGAAAATAAAGGATGAGTTTATATCGTAATTATCGTAGTTTTTGGGATATCTTCTTTTGAATCCTTAAATAGGGCCCTTTTTGTGAAAATTAATACCTTTGTTGGGAAATATCTTAAGAACGAAGGGAAATATCAAAAAAATGTATTTTTATTAATCGATTTAGAACTGATTTTTCCACTAAATGAAATCACCCGATTTATTATGTCGGTGATTAATAATAAGTAAGATGCGTAAAAGCGATTTATTCAAAATTAATTTTTTTCGATCACCTCTAAGTTCGTTGGGGTTACTTTTACACAACGTTTAAAATCATCGTTGGGTGGAAAAATAAATTTAAAATCGAAAATAAAGAATGAGTTTTCATCTTATTTATCATAGTTTTTGAGATATCCCCTTTTGAATCCTTAAATTTGGCTCTTTTTGTGAAAATTAATACCTTTGTTGGGAAATATCTTAAGAACGAAGGGAAATATCAAAAAAATGTATTTTTATTAATCGATTTAGAACTGATTTTTCCACTAAATGAAATCACCCGATTTATTATGTCGGTGATTAATAATAAGTAAGATGCGTAAAAGCGATTTATTCAAAATTAATTTTTTTCGATCACCTCTAAGTTCGTTGGGGTTACTTTTACACAACGTTTAAAATCATCGTTGGGTGGAAAAATAAATTTAAAATCGAAAATAAAGAATGAGTTTTAATCGTATTTATCGTAGTTTTTGAGATATCCCCTTTTGAATCCTTAAATTTGGCTCTTTTTGTGAAAATTAATTCCTTTGCTGGGAAATATCTTAAGAACGAAAGGAAATAACGAAAAAATTTATTCTTATTAATCGATTTAAAAATGATTTTTCCACTAATTGAAATCACCCGATTTATTATATCGGTGATTAATAATAAGTAAGATGCGTAAAAGCGATTTATTCAAAATTAATTTTTTTCGATCACCTCTAAGTTCATTGGGGTTACTTTTACACAATGTTTAAAATCATCATTGGATGGAAAAATAAATTTAAAATCGCAAATAAAGAATGAGTTTATATCGTAATTATCGTAGTTAGATATACCATCTTTTAAATCCTTAAATTTGGCTCTTTTAGTGAAAATGAATAAGGCACGTTAGGGTAATATGGCCCGGACAAAAATATGGCCCATTCGTACTAATTTTTTTATTGAGCGCCATCTGTTGACAAGTGACTGCCTGATAGGTTCTATTAGGTTTGTAGTGCCTGTTGACAACCAGAATAGCCAACCTTGGCGATTGGTGACCTTGCTACACTTCAATTTACAGAAAGCACACGTGTTCTTTTTACTTTTGCCTGTGTTTGATATCGTGTAACTTTGGGTAAAGCGGCTAATTAGGTAAGAAAACGTCATTGCTATAATTTGTAGCTCCTTAACTTCTGATTTTTGCCTCAGTAAAAATTTTTGTTTAATTTGTTCACAAATTATAACCCCAAATGTCCGTGAAGTGCTTGTCGGAAATATGGCCCACAACAAAACGGTAATGGGCCATATTACCGACCGTATTCGAATACGAAATTTACGAGTTTTTATTATTTTCTTACAGCTGAGATGATGACAGAAGCAGTAGAATTGATTAGAAAAGGCCATCGATCCACGATATGTTGAAAAACATTGCGGTATTTCACGCACCACCTTGAGCAATCACATCAAAACTGGGGATGCAAAAAGGAAGGTTGGACGAAGATCTTTATTAAATGAGGAACAGGAAGCAGACTTAGAATCAAGAATAATAAGGATGTCTCGAGTGGGACTGCCATTAACTCCAAGAACAGTTCGTAGAAGCGTTTTCCGATTTAGTCAAGAAGCAAATATCGGCCACAAATTGAACAATGAGAAGGAACTTGCTGGATTTACTTGGTACAAGTCGTTTCTAAAGAGGCACCCAAACATCGCCAAGAGGAAGCCGCAGATGATGAACATCGCTAGAGCTCAAAAACTGAACCCAACCATCGTACATGATGATGAAAAGGGTTGCAGATTAACTTTGCACCATGCTCACAAGGTTTTAGCAGAAAAGGGAGAACGCCGAATTCATTTACTAGCCAATGAACATGCTGAAAACGTGACAGTAGTAGCTTGTGTCAACGCACTGGGACAAGCAGTACCACCAATGATTATTTTCAAAGGTTTAAGAAAAAAGGATACCAACTCAGACAACTTTCCCCCTGGTTCCACTGTTCAAATGTCTGCAAAAGGGAGCATGATTAGGGAGTTATTTATTGTTTGGCTACAACATTTTGCAAAATTCAAGCCAGCAAGAAGAGTTCTTTTAGTCATTGATGGTGTTTCCTGTAACTTAGATATCGCCATTGTTGAAGAAGCGGAAAAGTTGGATGTGTCCTTGTACTGCTTACCATCAAATACAACCCACGAATTGCAACCACTAAACAAGGCTGTTTTCCGATCCTTTGAACATTATTGGGACACCGAACTGCTGAATTCCTGTCAAGCAACAAATGTTCCTTGCCGAACTCTAAAGAAGCATAGATTCGGGATTGTCTTCAATAAAGTCTGGCAACAATGTATGTCAATTTCAAACATCCAAAATGGTTGTCAAGCAACAGGGATATATCTCAGAAAATGCTTTTAGTGCGTCACTTCTTACACACAAACAGCAAGAAACTGAAGCAGAACCAAAAAAATCTGATGATGAAGACGATATCCCACTGATTCATTTTAAGCAAAAAGGAGGCCCGATTTCTACAGGTAAATCATC